GCTCCTGCCGCTACGGCGCGTTTCATCGTGAACGAGTTGACACGCACCGACGAATAATCAGGCGAGCCCCAGCGAGGTAAGGCGATGTTGTTACCGTTCACTCGCACGGTGCAGTCACCCGTCGTCCAGTCGATTCGCGGATCGTGTTGTCGCAACCAATCACGGCCGAGTAAAATGTCGGTTCTGTCTGTTGGTGCAACCCAACGGTTTGCACTCGGCTTGTTGTCCGTGTGCGTGCATGCGTGTGTGCATAAAATGGTATGAGGGCATGAAACAATATATATTTCTTGCTTATAATAGTGTGTGCATGATGGGTCATGGTGTCGAGTGTGTGTGTGTCGAGTCAATAGCGAGTTATCGCTAGTCGCGTATTACGCGGTCATTTTGTGTGTCCCGCGCGGTTTCTATTTCGTCGTTTGTGTGTCTCGCGCAATTTCTATTTTGTCGTGTGTCGAACGTTCGGCGTGTCGCAGGTGTGTGCAGCAGACCCATCAAGAACTCAAGGATGAGTTTATGATGAAGAACCAGAGCCTTGGTTTCAAGCTTCAAGTGATTTCGAAGCTCGCCAAAAGGGTACACTTCAAGATAGTGAGAATAGTTACATTACTTTGTGTAGTGTAACATTTCACTTGGTGTAGGCCCTTGTGAAGGGTAGTTTCGAGACCCTTCTTGGTTGGGGACAGTGTGGCACTATTCCACATCACTGTACCTCGGCTCTTGGGATTTGTAGGCGCTAGGAGTCATTCCCAACTCGTAACTCTTCCTAGCTCTTCCTTATTTGTGTTCTAAGACTATGTGGCTACCATAGTGCCGTTCCTTCAAACCAAAGCTGTATCCAATTTCAGGAATTGCTCGCGCGAGATCTAATCGATCGGAGCCGCCCGCGAATCAGGCACATGTGGGGGGCTTTCAAGCAACGAGACTGGCAGATTCCAATCTTGTTGGTTGTAGTCGCTGAAATCGTGGCGCGTGCTGAACGGATTGTTATTTGAGAACGCTCCGATTGGGTGAGGTGCCGGCTCAGGTGACGGTGAGCACACGCGAGGACGACGCGATTCGCTTGTCATTGCCATGTTCTCCATGACATTGCGGACGGGGGCAGTCTGTGACGGCTGCTGCTGCTGGTTCTGAACCGTTGGGTTCAAGTTGCGCGATGGGGGTTGATACCCCTGGGCTGGACGCGTGTCGTTCCGTGCGTCTTGTCGGCCGGACCAGGTGCTCGGATTGGTTTGGTGAGGGCGAGATCGAAATTTGCATCGATCTGCCAGGTGCCCAAAGTTTCTGCAAATCTTGCAGTATAGGCGCCGCGGCCGTCGCTCTTCAGTGTTGTCGGCGTAGAAGGCGAGCCGTTCTCGTTCTCGTCGTGGCGCTGGTCGCTGCTGATCCATATCCCGTTGTTCGACGAGAAGGGCGGCGCATAGGACGGCCTCCGAGATTACCCCCTGCTGTCGAAGCAGCGCCTTGCAGGGCTGCCACTCCGGGCCGAGCCCTAAAGCACAATGTTCATGAATATTTCTTCGGAAATGCTGCTTCCTAACTTCGCGATTTGATTGCGTAAGCTTCGAGAGCGATTAATGTAGATGTTGTCCTCCCCAGGGACCATTCTTGTCTCTAGTAGCTGCTGGAGCAGGCGGTTCGACGAAACCGAATCTTTCGGTTGGTACACGCCGTTTAGGTGGCGCCACGCATCGAGGGCTGGGGCAGGCGATGTCTTGTATGAGCGAATGCTCAACTGCTCTGCCGACGACATGTTGCGCAGAAGAATTCCGTACGCCATCAGGGACTCGTTGTAGTACCTCGTCCTAGCGTCGTCGGTGTCTTCAGCGGGTCCCGAGAAGCTCCAGTCCAAATAGTGGAAAATCTGCGCGTTTTGCAACAGCAGCTCGAGCTCGAAGCTCCACGTATAGAAGTCTCTGCCGTCAAAACACACACTTGTCTTTATTTTTGATATGCTCAAAAACCTTGATTGCGCAGAAAGAATTGCTTCTTCGCTGGGACGGGGAGTCTTGGGGGTTGAGCCATTTGTGTCGAGGGAGAAGGTGTGCGGGGCGGTATTCTGGCCGTTTGAGGCCGGTTGAGAGGGTTGGGAAGAAGTTCCCATTCCGCAATGTTTGGAGTCCTTGCTCCAAGCTGGTGAGTCGCTGAAGTAGTTGTGCGAGGACGGCGGTTCCAATCGTCGTCGTTTCCTCACTCGTCGCAGCCGGATTGGGTTGCGCTTCAGCCGTCAGATTTGTCTGACCACCAGATCCTCCGGCCATTCTCACACGCGAGCGTGTGCCGGACGCCACTTTCCATTTGTCGAAGATTTCGGAGGTGGCGGTGCGAAGGATTCACGAGTCGCTCTCATACCATGCTGCGATCAGAAATTGATCGTCCCTAGGATCACCTCAGGAAGGTTCGCACACGTCTGAGTAGTGGTGGTGGGCCCTTGACCTCAATAGCAGAGTGAATGTAAAATGCTTGAGATAATTAAAACATGCAAATACAGAGAATATAAACATGAGTACAGGGGAATACCAAACGTCCTAGTCTAGCCATGTACTCCAAGGGGTACATTCCCTTATTAAAGCAAAACTCAACCGTGCGACTCCAGACAGTTACGAATCTTTCGGAGCAGAATCATCGCCACTGCTGCTGCCTGATGCTGTCTGCCCGACGGTCCAGATTCTTTGGTAACCGTACAACCCTTCGCGTCACTTCCGCCTTTGCATGCTTCGATTGTTGCGGTTCGGACTGCACAGTAATGCTTCATTCATTACTGCCTATATAACCAAGGAATCCAAGTGGATAGGATAACTATGCTAAGTTTGAGAGAAGACAATGAAGTCCTTGTTGTGACCTTGTTAATAAAGTTGAGAGAGAACAAGATGATTAAAAGATAGGAGTACAAGGGTTTAAATAGCAAAAGCTAACTAGCTATGTACTCTGAGGGGTACATTTCCTTATTAACTGTATTGCATAACTACAGTAACCACGACTATTGCCATTCTCGACAGTTACCATGTTGCAGCGATTAACTGCCGTGCAGTTACTGGTCGGTCAAGGATCACGACCGTTGACTGCCTTCGACTGTTAACCTTCGAGAATGCTTATAATAACCTTTCGGTTATTCCAACACTCCCCTTCATTCCTGAAGGTGAGCCACGTGGGACTTTTTGGTGATCCCGCAGAGGTCGGCGCAGTGCTGGAATTGTTGACGTGGCAGTTTCTTTGTCAGAAAATCAGCCGCCATGTTACCAATTGGGCAGTACTTAAGTTTGATCCTCCCCTTGTCGATTTCATCTTTGACGAAGTAGTAACGGAGTGCGATGTGCTTCGTGCGGTTCACGAACCCGGGCTTGTTCGCGATCTTGATCGCGCTCTGATTGTCGCAGAGTAACGTGAAGTGCCTATTCATCGTCACTTTCGCTTCCTGCAGGAGTTCCATCAGGTTTAGTCCTTCGCAAACAGCTGCGCTGATGGCGATGAACTCAGCTTCGGCTGACGATACGGCAATGAGTTCCTGTTTCTGGGAGTTTCAGGAAATGAGTCCAGCAGGTTGGAGCTGAAAGATGAATCCTGTACGGGAGCGTCTGTTGTTAACATCTCCTGTGTTGTCTGCATCTACGTAGCCATGGAGCTGTAGAGTAGTGGTGAGGTTAACTTCGTAGGTGAGTCCGACGTCGTATTGAAGTATTGAGGTTAACTTCGTATTGCAGTGCTCGGCGTAGATCCAGTAGATTCTCCCCTTCAGGTCGCTTCAGGTACTGTGCGAGCTGGCTTGCGACGTAGGAGAGATCGGGCCGGCACGTGACGGCGGCGAACAGGAGACACCCCAGTTGCTGCTGATAGAGCCGATGATCGTCGATGGAAAGAGGTGTGATATCCGGCGTATGATTAGGAGGAGGAGTGCGGTAGGGAGTGGTGAGGTTGATTGGGGCGACGGCGAATTTCTTCGCGAGGGTTTCCGCGTATTTCGCGGCGGAGAGATGAATTGAGGAGGCAGACTAAGTGATGTTGAGACCCAGAAACTGCGTGACGTTGTGATTGATGTGGTCACTTCAAGCTTCTCCTGGATATCCGCTTCGAATTGATCAAGCAGCTCCGTGTCGTCGCCGGTGTAGAGGAGGTCGTCAACGTGAGCGACGAGGAGAATGAACTTGCCGCGCAACTCCCTCCTGTATATTCCTAAACCATGCGGCAGCTGAGCGAAGCCGAGCTCCAAGAGGACGTTGTGCAGGTACTGCTGCCAAAGACGGGGCACCTGTTTGATCCCATAGAGTGATTTTTGGAGAAGGCAAACGGCACCGTCGTTTTCTTTGAAGGCGTGCGGCTGCTCGACGAAGATGATGGCGTCGACAGGGGCATTCAGAAATGCGCTTCCGACGTCGATTTGATGGAGCGGTCGCTGCTTGATGGCTGCGATGCAAATGAGAATGTGCACCGAGGTGTGACGTCCGACAGGCGCGTAGGTGAGAGTGAAGTTGTGCGTTTGTTCAAAGCCGCATATCACCCATCTTGCTTTGTTTTTGTCAATTGAGCCGTCCGCCACAGTTTTAATGCGGAAGACCCACTTGCCGCTGAGGATTTTTCTCCCATTCGCTGATGAGCGAGGGACCAGCTTCCAGGTTCCGCGCCTTTTCAGCGACGCGCCTTCTGTGGCCATGGCTGCTCTCCATTTGTCACTGTCGGGGCCAGACAGAGCTTGGCGAACAGTGGTAGGTTCCTTGGGAGAGGAGTGGCGAACAGCTATAGCGAGCCCGAGGATGCGTAGACCAGTTTCGTTGGTCTTTTCGTAGTGGAGGCGATCGTAGTCGTGGAAGCTGGTAACCTCGACCACGTCGTCGTTACTTTCGTTTCCGAGGCGGAGGGTGTCCTGCGAGGTGTTAGGCTGTGGTAACTCTGCATCCGGGGATCAGCGCGCCTCACTGTTGTAGTTGTGAGCTTCGCGAGTTATATCGTCAGGATCGAATTGGTGCACGGGGATGAATGTCGGTGTCTGGAGGGGGCTTGTAAGGGGGATGCCCGGTGCGGCGTCCATCGGTGTGACATCAGCTGCGCCGGCGTCCTCTGCCAGATCAGCTTCATCGTGTGACGTGGCGAAGCTGCGATGTCCCTCGAAAACCCTTTCTGGTGCCTTGTCAGCTTCTTGGTGTTCCTTGAACAGTGGCAGAGTCAGCTTCTCGTAGAAGATGCAGTCACGTGATTTCGTCACTTCGTGTGTTCCGTAGTCCAGCACGATCCACACCTTGTATTCCTTTTCGATCCCGAGGTGGATGCCCTAGCGCGCCCGGTCAGCAAAATTTTCCGGTCCTTGCTGTGTGTGGCCTGTACCGTACCATGCAGCGGAACACCCGAAGCAGGTGTGTATCCGCTTTTCTGCCCGTCCACGCCCTATAAGGAGAATTGTTGTTCTTGAGGCTTCGGGATGACAGCTTGCTGCACCAAGGATCTGATCCGCGAGCTGGGGGTGGTGGAGGCGCCCACCTTCCTGTTCTACAAGAGAGGGGAGCTGCTGGGGCGCTATGTGGGGTCGGGCAGGGGGGACTTGGTGGGGGAGATTCTGAAGCACCAAGGGGTGCCCGTGAGCTCATGAGTGGTTTGTTTCAAGCAGCATGGGGGCATATCTAAAGGAGCAGAGCGTTGTTAGAGGGCGTGGGGAACAGAGGGGGAAGGGGTCGGGTAGGGGCGATGTGGTGGGGGAGATTCTCAAGCACCAGGGGGTGGCGTGGCGGTCAGCTCATGAGTGGTCTGATCTGATCTAGCTGGCACAGGACTGTTTTTAAGGAGCAGAATGTCGTAAGGGCACGGGGAAGAGAGGGGGAAGGGATAGTGGGAGGGAGGGAGGGGGAAGGGGGGAGGGGGAGGGGGGGGGAAGGGGGGTGGTGAAGTTTTTTTAGCAGCAAGGTGTGGCTGTGAGCTCATCAGTGACGCTTATTCTTTTCTTCTCTTGTTCTTTTCCAGTTAAAATCTGCTGCAGTGGTGGCTGTTGGAAACAGTGAATCTTAAGCGCTTCAGTCGTGTCGAAACATCGCACCAGAAGCGAAGCAAGCTGTATCGAAACAAACGCGAGTCAACCTTCGGAGGTTGAGAAGTTGCCGGAGGTTACGCGAAAGTCAAAGGTCAAGCGACCTTTGACCTGACAAATACAGCGCGACAGTTAAGGACACACAACTGACTCGTTACAGAGCAGTTGCCCGAGTCGTACTGTATCGAACCGCAACAGCAACAGTAAAGCAGTTACAAACTGCATCCTTTCATATTCCTTGTATTATTATATATTCTTGTACTTCCTTGCTATAATCAATCTACTTTGCCCTCATATACCAGCGCAAGGTGGTTCACAAACTTTGTTAAACGCTTCCGCTATTACAACACTATCCAACCCAGAGTTCTCCCTTGAAAAGATCCTAAGGGGCTATCTCAGCCCAACATGGTATGAGAGCAAACAGGGGAAACTCTACTACCTTCAAATCATTACAAGACATGGCAACAAGCAAGGAAAGGAGCTCATCTAACGGCTCCCCAGGCACTACTCCTACTCCACCTCCTGCCTCTGGCCTGCAGACAGAGGAAGGCACGGCAACAAGACCAAGAATGACATCTACTGAGACTCCCGCAAATCACCCCGCGAACTTCGACCCGAGTATAATGGAGAAGTTCTTCTCCTTCATGTCCTTCTACGAGCAGCACCAGCAGTCGGGACCTGCACAATCACACAAACAACAACAACGGAGCGACACCCATGAGCCTCGACGGGTCGTCATATGCGCGCGGAAACCAACAACAGCAACCTACCTTCGCCCCGTACGAGCGCGGGTCGATCAGCTTCATGCCGCAATCTTCACCTGCACAAGACAAGCCACTGGACACATTACAAGTGCAATCACAGTTCGCGCACGTTCTAAAACTGCAGACATCAAGACCTTTCGACGGAAAGGACTTCTTCACTTGGTCATTCGAGTTTGAGTTAATGATGGAAGGCGCGCAGATACTCGGCTTCTTCGACGGGTCCCTGCAATATCCAGCAAACGGCACACAGTATGAGAAGCAGCAGTATACGTATCAATCGATGATGGCGTATACGATTCTGCTGAGGAACGTCACACCAACTCAGCAGCAGAACATACGCTCTTACCGGGGTTACGGCAACTCCGCTGAGCTCGCGTACAGCCACCTGAAGAGCCTGTATCAAGCAACAGACAGCGTAAACCAAAGCAAGTTAATGGCGCAGTTGACAACAGTTGAAATGAAACCGGGAGAAAAGGGGATGACGTATATCAGCCGATGTCGCGAACTGCGCGACAAGCTTCTTCGATGCGGAGGATCGATCTCCGAGGACGCCTTCGTGACGGTCATCATTGGTGGTCTCGGTCCTCAATGGCGCGCCACCAAAGCCATTCTTCGAGCCCACGGGAGAATCTCTGAAGCAGCACTCTGCGCCGAAATCCACGCCGAGCAGCAGGACATGGACCTGCAAGAAGAACGACACAGGAAGAAGACAACAGCATCAGAATTTGCCTTCCACACTCAGCGACGTTACAACAACTACAACAACCAACAGCAGCAACCGAAGCCAGTACCTCCCTTTTGCCACATCTGCAAAACCTCAGGGCACCCGCGCACACATTGCCCAAACCGTCAACAGTCAACAACTCCGCAGCGGCATCTACGGCCTTCAAGCAATCAAGTTGCGTCAACACAGGCGAACCCGACGACTCAAATTCAAGCTTCAACGACCTCAACGGGACAACCTGCACAAGAAACAAGAAATATCGTTAGCTGCATGGCAAGACTAAGTGACTCTTGCGTCACGGAATCACCACCATACTACTCACCAGAAGAACAGCTCGATGAAACGACACCTCGCCGCGAAGCACTTCAACCGAATCCAACCTACGCAGCCATCGCCCAAAACGAGCCATCCGGAAAGGACACGTGGTTCTTGGACAGTTGCTGCGGGCAACACATGTGTTCTTCAGGACGCTTCGTGCAGCGAGAGTACCAGCTTCAACGGGAAGTTGTCATCACCGTCGCCAACAATCAGAACCTGCGCACACGACGACAAGGAGTTGTTCAACTTCAGTCACGAGAGACAAATGTTATTCTGCAGATGTCCAAGGTCCTAATCGCAGAGGGCTTGGGCTACAACTTACTGAGCGTCAGTCAGTTGATGGCGAAAGGCATTCACCTTGAAGCAGACAGCACAACTCAAGAGTTCAAGCTGTACCACGGAAGGGGAGGTCTCTACATCGGGAAGGCGGTCCTCAAGAACAACGTCTTCGTTCTCGACTTCGTTCCCGATCTTGGCACGGCCGACAGCGACGCCATCGTAAACTTCACCAACTGGACACATCCTCCAGATCTTGATCCAGACTTCAGTCCGAGCGGTTTCTGGTACTCGCACACCATTCCTGAAACAGAGAGAACAAGGGCGTTAGCGACAATTCAGCAGTCGGCAGCAGCAGAGACAACATCGGCAGCAGCAGAGACAACATCGGCAGCAGCACAGACAACATCAGGAGCAGGAGAAACAACATCGACAGCAGCACCGACAACAGCAGCAGCAGCAGAAACATTAACACCAATCATCGGTCCCTCAACGGCACAGCCCTTCATCAACGAGACGCCGCCGACACCGGCGCAGCAGCTCAACCCGGCACCACGGGAAGTTCACAGAAGCGCGAACATCATCGCCGGCTTCTACTCCAACTCCGACATGTACCGACGCTCGCCAGGACACCGCGCCAACGAAGAAACCTGGCACGCAAGAATGGGACACCCAAGCAACACAGTATTAAACAACACGATAAGAGCTGGAGTACTTGACAAGGATTCACTCTTACTGACCGACGGCAGAGAACTTCAGCGAGCTCGAGGAACGTGCTTCACCTGCCCCGAAGCTGACTTACCGCATCAGCCCTTCGTTTCGCATCACAACCCAAGCGCACCTGCATATGCACCACTCGAGAAAGTGTACAGCGACATCTTGTACAACCGCGAACCCGGACAAAACGCGTATAACTACACCATCACCTTCATCGACGCCGCTACACGTTACGTCTGGCACCTAAACTTACCAAGTCGCGACATGGCTTTCGAGGCTTTCGTGGCATGGCTTCCAGCAGCAGAACGGGAATCGGGAGCTAAGCTCAAAAGTTTCCAATCAGACGGAGGAGGAGAATACTCGTCACAGCGGTTCAAGCAGTATCTGGCGGAGAAAGGAATCAAGAGACTCATCTCCCTTCCCTACGCCCATCAACAGCAGGGTGTAGCAGAAAGGATGAACAGGACTCTGCAGAACACCATGCGCAAACTGTTACGTGGCATGCGGCTACCCAACCACCAGTGGCCCGAGGCAATGGACCACGCCGTGATGCTGCACAACTTGCTTTCTTCGTCGTCACTCCCGAACAACACATCACCGCATCTGCTGTGGACAGGGAAACTGGGCAGCACAAAAATGTTACGAGTCTTCGGCTGCATGGTACAGTACCGACCCCCATCTGCACGAGCCGGCCGATTCTCCCAACGGGCACAGTGGGGACTACACCTGGGCATCGAAAAACATTACAACGCGTGGAAAATCTTCGACATCCACACCAAGGAAACAGTAGCAGCACGTGATGTCATTTTCTACGAACGGCTCACACTGCCAACATACCTTGCCAACCTGGACGAAAATCGAGACCCCACAGGTGGCTTCCGTGGCGATCGAGCCTTCGCTTCGGCAGAAGACGAAGCTGACTGGGACGAGCAGAACGTGGAAGGAGCCTCGGAAGAAGCCGGACCTCTTCCCTACTGCTCAGTGGACGTACCGATGGACGAAGATAACCCTCGCGAAAGCGTCAACGCCGAAACCTACTACCACTTCGCCGACAACGGTTACGTTACACCTGCTGAAGTCAACACCAACGAAGCAGAACGCATAGGGCCCAACTTCGCACCTGATCCAGAAGCTGGAGACGAGGCAGTCTATCCCGAGGACACCACACTCCCCCGCTACACACAGAGTGGACTCCAGATACTCGGGCTCGTCACCGCAGTCCACGGCACCGCCATTCCTAAAGAGCCTGCAACGATTCAGCAGGCTCTGGGGGGGGAACACAGGGAAAAATGGCGTGAAGCCATGGACAAGGAGCTGAAAGCGCTAGAAGAACGCAACACCTGGAAAATCGTTCCTATCGGTGTAGCACGAAACAAGACCATTCTCACCGGAAAATGGGTCTTCCGCGTGAAGACGAAAGCAGATGGCACCATCGACAAATTCAAGGCGCGCTGGGTCGTACGCGGCTTCGACCAAGAGCACGGACGCGACTTCACCGAAACCTTTGCTCCGGTCAGCCGACACACCTCACTACGCATTCTCCTCGCAATCGCCGCCATGAAGAAGAAAAAGCTACGACAAATCGACGTCGCAAACGCCTTTCTCTACGCACCTGTTGACGCAGAAATTTTTGTGGAGCTGCCGCACGGCTCCAACACAGATTCCACGCATGTCTGCCAGCTGCTCAAGTCGCTTTACGGGATCAAACAGGCCCCGCGACTATGGCAGCAATACCTGCACGCTCGTCTCATCCGCATCGGCTTCAAGCAACTCCCGCACGACCAAGGCATGTATCGACTCACTAAGAACAACGACTACGTCCTGTTAATCGTCTACGTGGACGATCTCCTCTACATCGGGTCAACCGACGGCATCGCAACCTGGTTCGAAGGGGAGCTGCAGAAAGACCTCACACTCACGGTCTCGTCTACCGTCACACAGTACCTCGGCCTCAACATCCGAGAAGAAGAAGATGCGATCTATCTCAGCGCCGAGAAATACGCCGACACTATCGCTAAACGCTTCGCTCTCACACCAGCCGCCATCTCCACGCCATACCGCTACACCACAGGAACCGAGAAGGGACGATCCACTCTACTCAAACCAGCCGGCATACGCGACTATCAGAGGAAGCTCGGATGCCTCCTCTTCGCAGCCGTCACATGCCGTCCCGACCTCTCATACTCCGCAAGTCAACTCGCCACCTACCTCAAGAAGCCTGAAACAGAACATCTGGCGGAACTTGACCGCGCTCTTCACTACTTCATCAGCACCGCGACGATCGGCCTAACCTACCACAAGAACGCAGCTACACCAACTAAGCTAATCGGCTATGTCGACGCCGATCACGCCGGCGACTCCGACAACAGGCGCTCACGTACCGGCTACGCCTACCGCCTCGAACCTATCGGACCTATTTCCTGGCAGTCGAGCAAGCAGGAGTTAATCGCGCTATCATCAGCTGAGGCAGAATATATCGCACTCTGCTCAGCCACCAAGGAAGGCCTTTATCTTCGCGAGCTGCTGGAAGAAGCAAAGTTAGCTGAGTTACCCAACTTCACCCTGTTCTGCGACAACCAGTCTGCAATTCGCATCGCCAACAAGAACGGCTTCGCGAACAGGACGAAACACATCGCCCTGCGCTACTTCTTCGTGAAGGACGAGATCGAGAAGGGGAGACTTCAGCTGTCATACTGTCCCACGTCCGAGATGGCAGCCGATTATTTGACCAAGAAACTCGGAAAGCAGAAATTCGAGTACTGCATGCTGCTGACTGGACAGAGCCACGTCATCAGCAACGACACTCCAGAAGCGAAGGGGAGTGTTGGAAACAGTGAATCTTAAGCGCTTCAGTCGTGTCGAAACATCGCACCAGAAGCGAAGCAAGCTGTATCGAAACAAACGCGAGTCAACCTTCGGAGGTTGAGAAGTTGCCGGAGGTTACGCGAAAGTCAAAGGTCAAGCGACCTTTGACCTGACAAATACAGCGCGACAGTTAAGGACACACAACTGACTCGTTACAGAGCAGTTGCCCGAGTCGTACTGTATCGAACCGCAACAGCAACAGTAAAGCAGTTACAAACTGCATCCTTTCATATTCCTTGTATTATTATATATTCTTGTACTTCCTTGCTATAATCAATCTACTTTGCCCTCATATACCAGCGCAAGGTGGTTCACAAACTTTGTTAAACGCTTCCGCTATTACAACACTATCCAACCCAGAGTTCTCCCTTGAAAAGATCCTAAGGGGCTATCTCAGCCCAACAGTGGCTTCGTGCATGGTGTTTAGTGTCCTTGCCTGCCTCTTTGGAGACTCGACTCGGCTGACTGCACAAAGAATGGTGGTTGGAGGCCACAAAAGAGTCATGGTGCTGGGACTCAGCCTCGAGGCCAAAATATCTCTACAACTGAGAACAAGTTTGGCAAAAGCCGTAACACTGTTGTCGACGAACAGGCTATTTAGAGAGGAGTGACAGAGATGGCATCATGGTGCTGCCACACTCTTGCATACGGAAACACTTTTGTTGTTTATAATTATAGTTAAACATTACATTTCATACATCTGAACGCAGGTCGTAAGGGTTGATAGAATCGGGAAAACAGCGTGTAGCCAAAAGAGGTTAGGTCTGAGAATACGCCTAGAGTTCCAGCGCGGTTAATACGTGGTCCAAAATGATACCAGGGCAAACAGTTCACGCGTGATGGGATGTTCTCGAGGCCATTTTTCTGTAAGCATTTCGGGGTATAGTGCGTTTTCGGACATTTGAGCAGGGTTCTGTGAGTTAAGTATGGCAAATCGATAAACGCAGTGATTTTCGTGCTCTTCATCCCACTCGCCAAATTCCCTAGGTTCGAAATTCGGGAACGATGGTAGATTCTTGTGATTCAAGATTCTGGTTTCTCCTAGTACTCCATACTCCATACCTTATAGCTCGTGCTTCTCCTATGGCTATTCCTTCGTAGCGCGCCACGTGGATGCACAACGCGCTCTCGCAATGGCAAACGAGAGCGAGGGAACGGCTGCTAGTGAGGCGGAGAGCACGGTCACCGTCATTGGTCCAGGTGGCTGGTCGTTATCTGACGCGAAGATCACGCACGTCATCTTCGACCTGGACGGCACGCTGATCGACACTGGTAGGGACTCCCTTGGAGCCACCCTTAAGTAGGCCGACCCTGGAGTAGTTTTATGAGGCTATTAATGGCCACTGGTTGAGCACATTCCCTTGAGTTAGCCGACCCGCTTTCCTGCTCGCATTCCCCCCCATCTGTTTAAGGCGTTGATCGGCACTGGTAGGACACACTATCTTGATTAACCCCCGAGTCGCGTTCGACCTTGGAGTTCATGTGACTTTTCAGTCGACTTAAGACGCTCGTTGACACTGGTAGGACACACTACCCTCGAATCGCGCTCGACCTTGAAGTTCATTAGATTGTTGATCGACACTGGTTAGGCAAATAACCTTGAATCGCCCTCGATTCGCTCTCGTGTCGAATTCGAGTCGCCCGACCTTAGAGTTGGTTCGAGAGCTGATTGCCAGCGCTGGTAGGGCGAACAACCTTGAATCGCCCGATCCCTTTCCTACTCGCATTCCCCTACGCATCAGCATCAGTTCAAAACGGAAGCTGTTAGAGAACTGGTAGAGCAAAAAAGGCGACGGCTTAAAATACGGATATTTGAGACCGTTACCCCTTCCATGGAGTACAAAGCGATAGCACAGGTGGCAAGGTTTTGCTTTGCCACGTCAGCCATCTCCGTAGCCACATGGCAAGGCATGGATGGGCGCGTGAGTGGGAGGAGGAGCTTGTTGGGAATGATTGTGCTCGTTTTGCTCCCTGTCTGTCTACCCCTCATCCTTCCCCCAGAGAGTGCGGTGACGGAGGTGGCAAGGATACTGGTGGAGCGGTACGGCAAGGTGTGGACTGGCGAGGGCGCCGAGGATCGTATCGGCAAGCGGCCAATCGATGGCGCTCGTGCCACGGTGCAGCGATATGGACTGCCTTGTACCCCGGAGGAGTTGCTAGCGCAAAGCCACGTGCTGGTGGAAGAGAGGTGAGTCAAGGGGGTTGGGAGATAGGGTGGGAAGGGGGTGAGGTGTGTGGGGGATGGGTCGTGCCACAGTGCAGCGATACGGGCTGCCTTGCAGTGCAGAAGAGCTATTGGAGCAGAGCCATGTGTTGGTGGAGGAGAGGTGAGTCTGCGTGCGGGATGCGATGCGACATAAGGAGGGAGTGCATAGGGAGCGGCCGATTGACGGCGCTCGTGCCACGGTGCAGCGATACGGCCTGCCTTGTACCCCGGAGGAGCTATTGGAGCAGAGCCATGTGTTGGTGGAGGAGAGGTGAGATCGTTTGGGACATGGGGAATGCGTAAGTGGCGTGGAGAAGGGGGTGGGTGGGATGAGAGGGACCTGGTTCGTGCGATGGTGCAGCTATACGGGCTGCCTTGTACCCCGGACGAGATAAGATACTAGAGCAGACCCACGTGCTGATGGAGAGAGGTGAGAACGGGGGACGGGGCATAGGGAGGGAAGGAAGTGGGGTGCGTGGGGGCTGCCCTGCAGTGCGGAGGAGTTACTAGTTTTGAGTCGACTCAAAACCCGGGGTACGGGGCATAGGTAGGGAAGGAAGTGGGATGCGTGGGGGCTGCCCTGCAGTGCGGAGGAGCTATTAGAGCAGAGGCACGTGCTGGTAGGGGAGAGGTGAGTTCCGTGGGGGGTGTGGGCGTGGGGAATGGTCAGTGCGGGAACGGTCAGTGCGGGAACGGCCAGTGCGGGAGATGGATGGGGACTAAGGGAGTGTGTATGGGGCTGTGGTGCATGGGAAAGGCTCCGGCCACAGTGCATGGGACTATTTCCGATGCCTTATGCAGGTGCAGGTGGGTGGGGTGGGACTGTATCCAAGTCAAGCAGGTGTGTGTGGGTGGAGCCAAGCCAAGCCCCTCCCAGGCGCCCACTGCTTGACGCAGCACCTGCAGTGCATGTAGGCACGCAGCACCTCAAGCACATGCAGTGAGGCAAACTGATTAGGAAATATCGCCTGTGTCTCATCCATTTCCACCTTCATATGCAGGTGGAGCCAAGCCAAGCCCCTCCCGGGCGCCCACCGCCTGATGCAGCACCTGCGAGCGTGCGGCATTCCCATGGCTGTTGCCTCTAGCTCCCCCCGGCGCAACGTCAACATCAAGCTCTCCTTCCACTCTGGTCAGTTGCACGTTCCGAGGGAAGTTCCTGCTCCTGCTCATGGTAGTCTTAGGGTATGTTCAGGCTGCAGCCTGCTCCTGCTGATGCAGCACCTCCAGGCATGCTCCCCATTTCTGTTGCCTCTAGCTCCCCCCGGCGCAACGTCAACATCAAGCTCTCCTTCCATGCAGGTCGGGTGCACGTTTTCAGCCAGGAACGGTCCAGGAAAGATGAGAGACGTTCTGGGTAAGTTGAGGATTGTCCAAGGTAAGTATTAGGCTGCTGCTGCTTGCCGCAGCACCTCTCTCGAGGTTTTACATGACCCGCAAGCTCTCCTTCCTTGCCGGCAGCTGGAAGCCTCCACAAATCTCTCCTCACATGTAATTGTGCCTCTCTGACCCCCGTTGTAATGGCTCAGGATGGACAGACATGCTGCAAGTGCTGGTGGGAGGGGATGAGGTGCAGCATGGCAAGCCGCGCCCTGGCATGTAACCATGCCCTCACACGGCCCCGTCCTCCCTACCTCTCTGTCCCTCCCCTTCTCGCAACGGTTCAGGATGGACGGACATGCTGCAAGTGCTGGTGGGAGGGGATGAGGTGGAGCATGGCAAGCCGCGCCCTGACATGTGAGTGTTTGTCTGTCTGCGTGACGTTCATAAGCCAGTCCACTTTCACGTGCATTCAGTCTTGCCCGTCTCAACTTCTATAACCAACTTCCCAATTCGTCGACCTTCTGTCCCATCCTATGGCCATGATGCTTGCCGCCTTTATGTTTCCGCCCCTTTTCTCCTTCAGAGTCCTCCAAGCAGCTAAACCAAAGAGACCAATCACGACGAATGGGTGCCTGAACAACCTGGCCATGGCTTTCCCCCTCCCTGTTTTTGCTTTTCTTCACTTTCAGATTCCTACGGGCAGCTGAGCTGATGGGCGCCTCTCCCTCCAACTGCCTCGTTGTGGAAGATTCCCCGTGAGTAGCCTACCTCCCCCTCTCCCTGTGTTACTCTGTCTCCCTTCTCTCGTTTCCCTTCTCCCGCTCGCTGCCTCGTTGTGGAAGATGCCCCGTGAGTAGGCTAACCCCCCCGCTTGTTTTTTTAGCTATGTCATTGCACTGCCCCCATGTCCCCTCTCACTCACACCCCTCGCCTCTCCCTAACACTGCCTCGTTCTGGAAGATGCCCCATAGGCCATTTCCCCCTCTTACCCCTACCTCCTACCTCTTCTCCCTGTGTTTCTCTGTCTCCCTTCTCACCTATCCCTTCTCACCTATCCCTTCTCCTGCTCTTTGCCCACCTGTGGAAGATTCTCCACAGTTGCCAGCTATGTTAAGTTTACTTTTGAGAATTCTCAAAAGTAAACTCTCCACAGGTGCCTTGGCCCTCTTGCGCTCTTGCTTGCGTCGGCCATTGCACTGCTTGCATCTCTTCCCGCACTCATTTCCCTCGTCTCTCCCCATCACTGCCTCGTGGTGGAAGATAACCCATGGGCTACTTCCCCTTCTCCCTCCTATCTCTCCTCCCTGTGGCTCTGTCTCCCTTCCCACGTCTCCCTTCCCACATCTCCCTTCCCACGTCTCCCTTCTCCCGCTCACTGCTAAGTGGTGGAAGATGCCCTGTAGGCTACTTCCCCTTCCCCTCCCCGTGGAAGACCCCTTTTATCTGCGTCTTTGCTCTGCTCGCATCTCTTCCCTCAACCACCTTTCTGCCAAGCAAGGCATGTTGAGGGTATTCTGGGTTAAGGTTTTGGATTTCGGGTCAGCTCTTTTCCATCCCTTCCCTATTCCTTCCTGTCCTCGTTCCCACCAGAGCAGGGGTTGAAGCAGCTGTTGCTGCAGGCATGTGTGCGCTTGCAGTGCCCTCCCTGCCAAATAAGGCCGCCCGGCCACTCTACTCCGCCGCCCACCAGCTGCTGCCCTCTCTACTTGACTTCCAACCGCAGAACTGGGGCCTCCCTCCCTTTTCCGACTCTAAGCTCCCTCTCTCTGTCTCTCGACACTCTGTCTGCACTGCTCCTGCATGCTGAGCTTCTATGACTCACCAGCTGCTGCCCACCAGCTGCCGCCCACCACCTGCTGCCCTCTCTGCTGGACTTCCAACCGCAGCACTGGGGCCTCCCTCCCTTCTCTGATTGTAAGTGTGCCCTCTTTCTTTCCGACGCTCTAGCTGCTGCTGTTGGTGCAACAGGGATGCGACCATCAGCTGCGCTGTGATCCACCACCTTCTCCCCCCTCCCTTCTCTGACTGTAAGCTCCCGCTTTCCCTTCCTCTCTCCTCTTTTCTCTTCGGTCACTGAAGGCTGTGCCTCATTGTATCCGCTCTCTGTCTCTCCGATTCCCTTCTCTTCTCTTGCTCTCAGGGCTGCACCGCTCTCTCCCCATCCCTCCCCGGTACATCCAAGGCCCGGTCATTAAGGGCTGTTCCTCATCATATCCTCTCTCTCCTCCCCTCTCCTCTTCCTCCCTCTCCTCTCTTGCCTGCAGGGCTGCACCGCTCTCTGCCCATCACGCCCTGGTACATCAAAGGCCCAGTTATCAAGGGATTTGGGCGCGGCTCAAAGGTCCTGGGCATTCCCACAGGTAGTCACCCCCACATCTTCCTCTCTCCCCACATATTCCCTCGCTCACTCACTCTCTATTCTCTCACTCACTCCCTCTCATCCAACCTCCCGGCTTGCCAGGCTCCTGTCTCCTGCCTGACAATGTTTTTCAGACGTCTCGTTATTTTTTCTCTTAAAGACGTCTCAATATGTGCCTTTTTAGACGTCTCAATATGTGCCTTTTTAGATGTCTCAATATGTGCCTTTTTAGATGTCTCAATATGTGCCTTTTTAGACGTCATTGTTTAATTAATCCCCCATCTCAGCCTCTCTGCCAACCTCCCAGCCTCGTCTTTCACAGGGCATCTAGCAGAGCACGTGTGTGGCATGTACCATGGGCGGACAGTGTGTAATCAACCTAAATCCGCCATTCTCCTTCCACTCCCCTTTCTCTGTTCCAGCCAATCTCCCAGCCTCTAGCTTCACCGGCCATCTAGCAGAGCACGTGTGCGGCATCTACCACAGGTGGGCAGTTTGTAGTGAACTCCTTTCCCCCCTTCTGTTCCGTTGCTCCTCCCATTCCTCTGCAGCCAACCTCCCAGCCTCATCATTCACAGGGCATCTAGCAGAGCACGTGTGTGGCATCTACCACGGGTGGGCAGGGCTGAAGGGCAGGGGCGTGTTTAAGATGGTGATGAGCGTGGGGTGGAATCCCTTCTTTAACAACACGCATAAAACTGTGGTGCGTATGTATGAATGCTTGTGTTCATGTGGGTGCATGGGCGTGTGCATGTGCATGAGTGTGGGCGTGTTCAAGATGGTGATGAGTGTGGGGTGGAAACCCTTTCTTTAACAACACTCATAAGACTGTGGTGAGTATGTATGTGTGCATGTATGTGTGTGGGTGTGTGTGTGCATGTGCGTGAGTGAGTGTGTTGAAGATGGTGATGAGCGTGGGGTGGAACCCCTTCTTTAACAACACTCGTAAGACTGTGGTGAGTGGGAGAGAGGGGGGGTCTGAGTGTGTCTGAGCTGGTTGTGGGCGTGTTCCAGATGGTCATGAGTGTCGGATTTTCAACAACACGCATAAGACTGTGGTGAGTATGTGTCAGTGTGCGGGTTTGTGAGCATATTAGTGAGTGTGTGTATGGGTGTGTGGGCGTGTTCAAGATGGTGATGGGTGTGGGCTGAAACCCCTTGTTCAACGACACACAATGGTGGGTGTGAGTGTGTGTGCACAGGTGCATGCGTACAAAACATGAGAGTGGGGTGGGAAACTTTTTTCAACAACACACACAAGACTGTGGTGAGTGTGTGCGTTGCATGTGAGATTGTGTGTGCGCATGTGTGTGCGCATGTGTGTGCGCATGTGTGTGCGCATGTGTGTGCGCATGTGTGTGCGCATGTGTGTGCGCGTGTGTGGGCATGTGTGTGCGCATGTGTGTGCGCATGTGTGTGGGCATGTGTGTGGGCATGAGTGTGTGTGTGTGTGTGTGCTTGCTTGTGCATGTGTGTGCATGTGTGTGCATGTGTGTGCATGTGTGTGCATGTGCATGTGTGTCCATGTGTGTGCATGTGAGTGCATGTGAGTGCATGTGAGTGCATTTGTGTCCATGTGTGTGCATGTGAGTGCATGTGAGTGCATGTGAGTGCATGTGAGTGCATTTGTGTCCATGTGTGTGCATGTGAGTGCATTTATGTCCATGTGTGTGCATGTGAGTGCATCCGAGCACACGCGTGTTCACGTGTACCCATTTCCCCCCCTATCCCCACCTCCCCATACCCAGGAGCCATGGCTGCTGCATGATTTCGGGGAGGACTTTTACAAGGAGGAGCTCAGGCTGGTGTGTGCGTGCGTGCACGTGTTCACGTGCACCCGTTTCTCCCCCCCCCCCTCCACCCTGCCTTTCTTTCCCAGGAGCCATGGCTGCTGCATGATTTCGGGGAGGACTTTTACGATGAGGAGCTCAGGCTGGTGGTGGTTGGATACATTCGCGCTGAGGTCAGCTGACCAACTGTCTCTCTCACTTGGCCTGTGCATTGCATGTTGTTGCATGTTGTTGCATGTTGTTGCATGTTGTTGCATGTTGTTGCATGTTGTTGCATGTTGCCGCATGTTGTTGCATGTTGTTGCATGTTGTTGCATGTTGTTGCATGTTGTTGCATGTTGTTGCATGTTGTTGCATGTTGTTGCATGTTGTTGCATGTTGTTGCATGTTGTTGCATGTTGTTGCATGTTGTTGCATGTTGTTGCATGTTGTTGCATGTTGTTGCATGTTGTTGCATGTTGTTGCATGTTGTTGCATGTTGTTGCATGTTGTTGCATGTTGTTGCATGTTGTTGCATGTTGTTGCATGTTGTTGCATGTTGTTGCATGTTGTTGCATGTTGTTGCATGTTGTTGCATGTTGTTGCATGTTGTTGCATGTTGTTGCATGTTGTTGCATGTTGTTGCATGTTGTTGCATGTTGTTGCATGTTGTTGCATGTTGTTGCATGTTGTTGCATGTTGTTGCATGTTGTTGCATGTTGTTGCATGTTGTTGCATGTTGTTGCATGTTGTTGCATGTTGTTGCATGTTGTTGCATGTTGTTGCATGTTGTTGCATGTTGTTGCATGTTGTTGCATGTTGTTGCATGTTGTTGCATGTTGTTGCATGTTGTTGCATGTTGTTGCATGTTGTTGCATGTTGTTGCATGTTGTTGCATGTTGTTGCATGTTGTTGCATGTTGTTGCATGTTGTTGCATGTTGTTGCATGTTGTTGCATGTTGTTGCATGTTGTTGCATGTTGTTGCATGTTGTTGCATGTTGTTGCATGTTGTTGCATGTTGTTGCATGTTGTTGCATGTTGTTGCATGTTGTTGCATGTTGTTGCATGTTGTTGCATGTTGTTGCATGTTGTTGCATGTTGTTGCATGTTGTTGCATGTTGTTGCATGTTGTTGCATGTTGTTGCATGTTGTTGCATGTTGTTGCATGTTGTTGCATGTTGTTGCATGTTGTTGCATGTTGTTCCTGCAACAAGCCATCATTTGCTTCTTGCATCCTTTCGTGCAACTTTGCTGGGAAGGGAGCAGTGGAGGTAATGGCACATGCAGCAATTTTTTGGGTTCTTAGAATGAGGCGATTTCTGAGGCACTTGAAATGAAAAGATTTTGGGCATGTCTTTGATGATGCGCCAGTCTTTTTTATGATTACTGAGGTGCTTAAAATGTTAAGATTTTGTAGGCATCTATGATGCGCCAGTCTATTAGGCATCAAGGAGCAGTTTTAAGTTTCTCGCCTTCCACTGCAGGCCGACTCTTCCTCCTTTCCCTCCCTCCCCTTGTTCCTTTCGCCCCCTCATTCCCCTCGTTCCCCTCGCTCCTCTCACCCCCCTCACTTATCACTCACATTCATCATAATAGCCCATCACTCAGGCTTCCTTGTAACCACCACCTTCCCACCACAGGCTGACTTCCCCTCGCTCCCCGCGCTCATCGCTCGCATCCACGAGGACGGGGACATCGCTCGCGCTGCTCTTGACTCACCCCCCTTTGCCTTGTTCAAAGAAGATCCTTTTCTGACAGAAGGCTAAAGGCGGCTCATGTATACTAACAAAAAGAATCTGTCCCTGTAGAAGCGACCCATTTCAAACCTAAGCCCATTGTTTTAGAGGTGCGACACAGAGCTGTTTTTCATCTCTCGATGGAAACATATCTCCTGGCTTGTTTGCCGTTGCCGCGCGTTGCTCTCAGCATCACCAACAGTTACGGAGTGCAGTGATGTAGCCTTTTAAAGAATGAGCTTCGAACTGGCCCTACGGCGGTACACGCATGAGAAAGACCTACCGGTTGCTACAGGTAGAAGTGGTGCATGTGTTTGGGTGTTATTGATCCAATTGCGTGAATACCAGCACTTTTAGCTTTTGCTTAGCATTGGCCGAGCAGGATGTGTGAGGTGGTTGATGCCTAGCCCACCAGTTGCCTTGTAATGGTATTTCTCGGTCACAAATGATATACCGTAAAACTGGATTATGTACTTGCATTGCATGTCACAATAGAAAAAAAATCTTAGACGCACTGGTAGGATTTTCTTTAGTACGTGGCATCAATTGAGCTGTGAAGATACACCACTGTAGTGAGGACAACACAACTTCAGCGCAAAATGCGGAACCATGAGTAACGCGTTCGTGTCGTTTGGTCTTCTCCGCCGCCATTTGTGGGCACAATGTGTGCAACACATGCTTTCCATGCCTCTCAAAAGTTGGTCGTCTTCGCCGGTTCATCTTCGTCGATTCAACTCCGCTGTTTCGCCAAGACTCATCGCCCGCCATTCTCTCTTCGTTGAATTGCCAACCCACGGTCGTCCATCTGGTCGCTTTCGATTCTTTCGCGAATCACCTCCAACCATACATCCCCGCCGGTTCATCTTCTAACTGTCCAGCGCGCATCGTGCAGCACAAAAGCAAAGCAGCAGTGAAACGAGTTCCTTCGATTCCCAAAGCAGCCAGTAGGAAAACGAATCCCATCCCATCCAGTATAGCCGAGATGGTCAGCATTATTTCCTGAATGGTAATGAACAGTGCGTCCGGAAATCCTGGCTCCAACCAAACTGTACAGCGTACAAGTCAGGTTTAACTCAGCAAAAGGAAACTGACTGTCCACGTGTACACCCACAGAATGCGAAATTCGGTT